AAAAAAAAAAAAAAAAAAAAAAAAAAAAAAAAAAAAAAAAGCCCAGACTTTGCTAATGTACATCCATGTGATCAAAAACCATTTGTACCCCCTAAAGCCACTGAAATTAAATTTAAAAATAAATAAAGTTAGCCGGGTGCGGTGGATCAAGTCTGTAATCCTAGCATTTTGGGAGGCCGAGGAGAGAGAATTGCCTGAGCCCAGGGGTTCGAGACCAGCCTGGGCAACACAGTGAGACCTTGTCTCTACAAAAAAAAAATTAGCTGGGATGGTGGCACGTGCCTGTAATTCCAGCCACTTGGGGGGCTGAGGTAGAAGGATTGCCTGAGCCCAGTAGCAGGTCGAGGCTGCAGTGGCCATGAGCTTGCCACTGCACTCCAGCCTGGGCAACAGAGTGAGACTCCAACTCAAAATTGTGATAATAGCATTGTCATTATTATGAGTATGTTCTAAAAATATAAATAAAGAACTTAATTCAACCTAAGAAAGCTTATCAAAAAAAGTAAAATAAAGAACTTAAGAGTTTGCCAGGAAAGAAGGAAGCACTTTCCAGATCATTGGCAAAGCATAAAGGTTAGAAAATAGAATTGAGGTCAGAACATGAAGGACTTCAAATGCTAGGGTAAGGAATTGGGACTGATGAAATAATTAATGAAAGACATTTAAGATTTTTAGGTCAGAGAGTGGCAGATCAGAACTATTCTTTAGTAAGATTAATTTGGGGGTAACGAATAAAAATATTCAGAATTCCAAGCATAAAAATACAAGAGTCCTCTGTAAACTTTAGGTAGAAGATAATTAGGATTTAACCTGGAAATGTGATAGCTAAAATAGGAAATAGTGAACCTAATCAAGAGAGTGGGACAATGCAGACCACTAGATTAGCAGCTGATTGGTAGAAACAATAAATTCAAAGGAGTCAATTTGGGAATGGAACAGAAAGAGAAAAAATGAGACATTCAATGTGGAAAACACTGACTTATTAAAAGCAAAGGACCCAAGCTGGGCTCGGTGGCTCAGCCTGTAATCCCGCGCCTTTGGGAGGCTGAGGTGAGTGGATTGCCTGAGACCGGCCTGGGCAACTTGGTGAGACCTCATCTCTACAATAAAATCAAAAATCAGCCGGGCGTGGTAGCATATGCGTGTAGTTCCAGCTACTTGGAAGGCTGAGGCGGAAGGATCGCCGGAGCCCAGCAGGTTGAGGCTGCGGTGGCTGGGAGCAGCCACTGCACTCCAGTCTGAGTGACAGAGTGAGACTCCAACTCAAAAAAAAAAAAAAAAAAAGAGACAAACTAAAAATGTAATTATCTACTTCGAATAGATGGTATTGAAAGAATTAAAGTCTCAGAGAAGGTCATTAGGTCAAACGGGAGAAAGGTAGACAGGTTGAGTTTGGCAACTGTAAAGGAAGAGTGGGAGAGAAAATGTAGAGATTTTGAGTGACTAAGCATTTGGGAAAGTCACGTTGAATGCGCTTTTCTGAGTAGGGTCCATCTTTTGAGAATAAAAAGGGGCCAGGCGCAGGGTGGCTCTAGCCTATAATCCTAGTACTTTGGGAGGCGGGAGCAAGAGTATTACCTGAGCTCAGGGGTTCTAGACCAGCATGAGCAACATGGCAAAACCTTGTCTCTGTAATAAATGAAAAAATTAGTCAGGCTTGGTGGTGCATGTCTGTGGTTCCAGCTACTTGGAAGGCTGGGGCGGAAGGATCATCTGAGGTTGCAGCTGCGATGGCCATGAGTGTGTCACTGCACTCCAGCCTGGGCAAAAGAGTGAGACTCCAACTCCAAAAAAAAAAAAAGGAGAATAAAAAGAATGGGGTTAGGATAGGAAAAAATTGGGGTTAGAAACAGTCCTGCCGGGCTTGGTGGCTCAGCCTGTAATCCCGCGGCTTGGGAGGCTGAGGTGAGTGGATTGCCTGAGCCCGCAGGTTTGAGAGACCCGCCTGGACAACTTGGCGAGACCTCATCTCTACAATAAATAAAAAATTAGCCAGGCATGGTAGCGCGTGCCTGTAGTTCCAGCTACTTGGAAGTCTGAGGCAGAAGGATCGCCAGAGCCCAGCAGGTTGAGGCTGTGGTGGCTGGGAGCCACAGAGTGAGACTCCAACTCAAAAAAAAAAAAAAAAGAAACAGACCTATTCAAAGCAGCAGTGATTCCAAGTAGTAGGAAAGATCCAAGATTAAATAGTAGTTCGAATCTGTAGTAGTCCCAATCAGCATAGTTTTAAGACTTTGACCAGTAACTCCTGGTTTCCTTGAAATGGAGAAAACAGAGAGCCAGGTCAAAGGACTGATAAGGAAGTAACAGTGGAGGACAACACAAAATTCTAGCTTTGTTTGTTGAAATAGCTGAGCAGGACATCTAGAGCCCTCAACAAAGACAGAATGAGACTGTTGAACGAAGAGGATAGGAAAGGCTGAGGAACAGACGTTCAGGAGACAGATGACCAGATTTGGGGGAAACGACAGAGAGGCAGACGAGCAGGATTTTGCAATGAGAGAAAAACTTCATCTTGTATCTTCGGAGGCGGAGAAATGACAGGTTGCGATAAGCCTTGGCCTATAATCATGATAACTGGTGGCAGATATGGCATGGCTATAAAAGTCACTTGATGTCATCAAGTAAATGTGAGGTCACAAATGTTGAAGTCCTAGTGATAGGGAAGGAGATTTGGACAGGGTGACTGTGACCCGGATGTTGAGAATGAAGTGTACAGCTCTAATACATGTTGTGTAGAGACAACAGTATGACAAATGACTTGTGTTGTAAGTTAAAGGAGCATTTCTGGCCGAGGTAGTTAAGGGATGTTCCAGAGGAGACAGAAACTCAGCTGGGACTATGAGGATGAGTGGGAAGTTGGAGATGGGCAAGGGGAGAGAGGAAGGGAAGGCAATTTACAGGACCACCTTGCCTCAGAAAAGGTCAGACGGGGTGACTGACCCTTGACTGAGGACAGCAGGAAAGGGATAGAGAAACTTATAGCAAGAGTAGCAACTCCCTAGAGGTCGCTGTTTCAGCAAGAGTCTCCTTTCATACAACAAACTTTTTTTTTTTTTTTTTGG